GTGTGTGTGTGTGTGTGTTGCTCTGGGTCAATGTTCAAACTATCACTAAACAATATGATGATATCATGTGAATGTTGTTGTTCTCGTGGTAGCCATGCTCATTGTCTTGTTGAGGTGACCACATGCACTATTTTAACATTATTGTAAATTGTATTGTAAATTGATATTTATTATACATGGCCTGACTCATCACCAGAGTCCTTTGTGACAAGTGATGAGTCGGTGATGCTCCTCTGCAGCAGCAGTTCTCGAGGTTAAGAGCGACATAAGAATCGCAGGGCGCCGGAACTCGCTGCAGGCAAAAGGGACAATACCCTCAGATTGATTGTGACAAGCCTTACCCTCTTTTCAGAGAAGTGCCCAAAGAAATTCCTCCCCCATCACTCCCTATCATGACTAAAACTATGACCTGGTTTCACTCAGGGCCTCTCTGACAAAGCCATTGTACTAATCACACATGATCCTGTGTGTTGACATTTGACCAGGTCTGCTGTTGAAACTGATGCAGAGGAAGTGAATATCTGCTGGTGGAGTTATTGTGGGACATGGTCTGCAGAACAGATGATATGGTATCACACCTTTACAGAACTTTATGTTAATAATGAAATGTTTCAACAAACAAACAACTTGCACTGAGAATCTTAAAGGGTAAGTGGTAAGATAATGACTGGATGTTGAAAGCATGTTTCAACCAAGTGAACACAACTGTGCCTGCACATATAAAATGTAAACTCTGCAGAGTGCAGCACACATGAATGCATAAGATGTTAAACAAACATTTAGTTTCACCAACTATTATAAAGATGGACAAGTAGCGATACTCCTATAGTAGGGACCTAAATTTGTTTACACAGTTACACATTATAAGGACATGTCTTCCTCTGGGACAAAAAAAACAGTCCCCATAAGGTAAATCATTAAATTTACCTTATGGGGACTGTTTTCTAAGGTGAACGTTTTAAAGTAAGGTTCAGGCTAAGGTCAGGTTCAGGTTAGGGTTAAGTTAAGAACAGAGTGAGGCAAGTTGTAGCTATTGTTAAAGTTACAGTCTTCAGGAAATCAAAGTAAGACAATGCAATGTCCTCTGATGACATGGAGACATGTGCGTGTGTGCGTGTGTGGGTGTGGGTGCAGGAAAGTGAGGTCTGAGAAGTGTACAATCAATGTGTTCAAGGGAGGGATGATATCACTTGGCACGACAAGTTTGTTTGCATATATCGAGTGTGCATGTGTGCGTGTGTTAAGGAAGCCTCGTTCTAAGGGCCCACAGCAGCCTCCCCAAAATAGAGCCGAGAGCAGCTGCAGCGGGGTGGGTCGTATCAGAGAGACATCAAAGCGGCTGCTGTCACCCGCCTGCTCTGATCATGAGCACTAATGGTGTAATGGGGGACTGGAAGGTCAGTGATTGTTTTTGGTTGGCTGTGTGTGAGTGTGTGTGAGAGAGAAGGTGTCAACAGGCAACACAGGCAGGAAGTTTCCGGAACACAACTTGCAGCTTTACTAGATTTAGTATTACTGGAAGAGAAACAGTCAGATGTCACCCTTGCACAAGTCCTATAACACGTCTCTGTGTGAATGTGTGAAGGGGAGAAAATGTGGGTAAAAAAAGTTCCATGATGAGCATTAGACTCCTTCAGAGAGCACCTCCGGGTCAACAGGACAATTTACAGGCACGCTCAGTAATCTGCTCTGTGAGTCACAGCTCAGATATCTCTGCGTCAATTTTGTGGCCTCACATTTCAACAGTCATCACTTTTCCTACATGAAAGAAGTCTGAACCTGACTGTGACTACAGCGTGTGCCCTCTTCTCCACCGTCTGAGCTACGACCAGCGCCCTTTAGAAGAGAAGTTATCGAAAAACAAACTTAATTCCAGTTTTAAAAATGTGAGCTTTCCAGTTGTTGCTGTGAAGTGACTATTGTAACATGTCCTCCTTTTGAGATCAAAATAACGCTCCCATGTGGAATTGATCATTGTGCTGAGACTTCTCCCTGTGTGTGTGTGTGTGTGTGTGTGTGTGTGTGTGTGTGTGTGTGTGTGTGTTTGTGTGTGTGTGTTTCATTCTTTCTTGAATCCAGATTTATGGGCCTTCACAAAGTCTCTGTCATGTCCAATCAGCACCTGCTCTCACTCATCACAGGCAGAGGAGACAGTCAGGGACGTGAACCAGGAGCAAATACGCCCCCTACAGGCTTAATAGGACAATATCAATTCTGAAAAATAGCCCATGAACCATTATTTGAAGAGTTACCTCAACTATTTTTAAACATAAAGAATAAACACTCACCGCCCTTAATACATAGTGACAAATATGTCGGGCATATTTGCCTCTTACTTTTTTTATTTTGTTTTATTGATTTATATAATTTTAGGAAACCTCTCCCTCCCTAAAGACTTTTTTTTAAATACATCAAACTTGATTTTTTTTATGTCAACACTGACATTTCATTTTTATTCTTGTTCCAATTTTCGCTGCAAGCTGAATATATAATCAATGTGAGGAGGAACGGGTTTTCACTGCGAGAGGAATTCCACGGAAGACATTTACTGCGGAACGGGGGTGTTCATACAAACCGGTTCCGGGTGTCACTAGGCTGCTGGCTAACATTAGCTGAAAAGCAATCTCCGCTGCAGATTCGTCCACAGTGTGGTAAGAGACGATGTTACGATTCGCTTACACGCTGTTGTGTGTCGGTGTGTGTCGTTGTCTTTGTGTGTCGTGAGCTGTAAACACGGAACAGCCGATAAAAGAAAAAACTTCAATTCTTTGGCACGGTGTTAGCCTGCTAGCCAACGCAAGCTAACGCCGACGGTTGCAAAATAATCTAAAACAGTTCGGACACTGGATCAAATGACCGCGATCGTAGTCTGGTTTGAGTAATCAGATTAATTTGTGCGTTTCTACGTTTATTTCAACGACAGCTTCATTAACGCCAGCTCATTGTTTAATCTGGCGTTGCGTTAATATTCTCAAGATACTTGATGTGATTGTCTGATGCTTCAGTCAGTTTCTGCTCCTAACACTGTTTATAAGGAAGGTTTATAAATATCCTATGTTCCTTTTCAGGATTGACAGAAATCCAAGATCAGGATGGGTGAGTGATGAACGTCTTTTTTTATCCTACACCTTCTTAGAAAGTGTGTGTGTGTGTGTGTGTGTGTGTGTGTGTGTGTGTGTCACTGAGGCATCTTGCTAGCACCTGTTCAATATTGTCTCTCTGTTGCTCCACAGACGGTGAAGAAAGAACCTATGGTGGCTGTGAGGGGCCAGATGCCATGTATGTGAAGTTGATCTCCTCAGACGGCCACGAGTTCATAGTGAAAAGAGAACATGCCTTGACATCTGGGACTATTAAAGCCATGTTGAGTGGGCCAGGTGAGGATTGTGACATGAGGTTTAAAAATAAATAGCACTAATAATTTATTTGTAACTCAAGAGGAATCTAGTCATTTTGGATTTTTTAATACAGTCAGTAACCCCCAGAAAATGTGCTGATTTTCAGCACATCTAGTCGTCCTTTGTCGCATCCATTGCCGAACATTTGTCACTTGTTTGACAGTTTACATTTTCTCATTCGACATAATGTAAATGAGAAGGATGCAGGTTCACTTTTCGTTCGGCTCTGAGCAGGTTTAATGTGATAATGGCTGATGCTTTGTGCCAAGAATCTGCATTATTTAGATTAGTTTCAAGTCAGTATAGAAATAACTCTTTGGGAGATGCAGCCCCTTAAACGTGGTGATCAAATTCAAGAGGTTTAAAAATAATTGGATATTTCACTATTACATGTTTTTTGGGCAGTGGTTCATCATTTAATGTCAGTTCATGTTTTAAAAAACATAAGTAAAAGCATAATGATGGTATTGATGTTTCATTTTGCCTGTCCAGCTGGTGGCACTGTGTTCCCTCCATACTGCAGTTGTGTTACCTCCTAATCAACATGAATTATAGGATTGCTTCCAGTGTTTGGCAGATGTATCTTGCAGAATTATTCTGTTTACATATCTATTTCCCAGACAGGTTATTCAAATGTGTATTTTCGTCAATTGCATGATTTAAAACATTGTTTCTGTTGGGTTTTTTTTTTTTTTCCTTCCTTCTCATGACACCTTCTGTAACCCTCCATCTGCAGGTCAGTTTGCTGAGAATGAAACCAATGAGGTGAACTTCAGGGAGATTCCGTCTCATGTCTTGTCCAAGGTGTGCATGTATTTCACCTACAAGGTCCGTTACACCAACAGCTCCACAGAAATCCCTGAATTTCCCATCGCCCCGGAGATCGCACTGGAACTGCTGATGGCTGCAAACTTTTTGGATTGCTAAAGTTTCAGAGATCATGTAGAAGCTTAAAACATTTTTTGGATTTTTTAAAATATTTAACTTGTTTTGCCATGTACATCATATGAAACATGAATGAGTATATAAAACCACGAGACGTTGTTGTTATTTTTTGCACCTGGCTTTCTGTTTGAATTTTATTAGTATTAAAGAATTTTGTTTTAATAAAATGAAAGGATATGACAGGCTGCATCCCTTCCCCAAGAATGTGATAAATGTGTCCCCTGCCCCAAAAATCTTTGTTCACCTCCATCTTAATAAAATACCTGTTTGGTGAGCTCTGTGTTAGTTTTTACTAATGTACCTGGTTCCATAGGAAGCACACTTGACTTTAAATACCACTTTCACAAAAAAAGTTACTTCATGATGTGATGGGGATATCTTAGAGATGATATATATAGCGGAGTCATTTGTAAGGCTTGGATCTGGGGGAAATATCCGTGGGGATAATTTGATTAGTGAAAGTAATACTTCTAAAATGAGTCCAGCACACGATTCCTATGACTCCCAGCAATCCCCCACTCTCAGACATGACCAAAACATATGAGTGAGACTTCAGCCATATTCAGGATGTCTATTTTTTTGAATGTTTAAATTAAATGTCCTGTAGTGCTCCCATATGAACTCTTTAAAACAATATGAGTCTACATTTTGCACAAGATGAACAGGACTTCTTTCATCTCCTTCAACCACATGATGATGCCCTTGTTTATTCTCTCCCAAGGTCATCTGTATAAAACACATGCGTGGGAGGATTTGCTTTGCGGTTGCACTCCTCCATTAAACCATTGATGAGTCAGTTGGTAAAAAGATGTGTCTGAATTTTCCATGAGAGCAAAGTGGAAGCCAATGGTGTGGGTGTTTGACAACATAAGTAAAATATTTAGGGCTAACAAGGGTGTTTAATGTCACATGTTAGAGAATAGCATGATACTTCACATATGCTGTTTTCTGATTTACACAAGAGAAAGTGAAAATAATTATATGAATCTTCAAATTAGGCAAATACAAGCTGTCATGATCTAATCATTTCAAATGCTGTTGCTGCTTGAATATAAAAATATACAGTAAATGGCCTAATGTAGTCTTTCTAAGAGGTTGCATAACTCTGCTTTTCCAGTGAAGGTGAGGGATCTGTTTTGAGCTATTATCTGGCTAATGTGTCGGCCATATCAGGTGCAAGCTCATATCACATCTCACTTACAGTGGCCACTGAACGTTCTAAACTCTGGTGGCACAGATACATGGATATACTTCCTGTTTGTCATTGAATGTGCAGATGGAATGAAAAGGCTTTGGGTTATAAGGTGATACTTTTATGTTTTTTTTAAAGAATACAGCTTTGATGTGTTTCTATTCAACTGAGCTGTAAATGAGAGCTGGAACCGAGAAAACACTTAACTACACAAATGTCAGATGTTATGATGAAAGGGACTATAGGCTTAATAGTGTAATTTAACATCAACAGGCACTTTGTAAGAAGGGCCAGACTGCATCTGCTGAGGAGACTGAGGTCTATTGGAGTGCAATCATTTTCTACCTTCATCCTTCATCCCAACAGCCATAAGACTTTTCAACAAGCACGTAAAAACAGTGTAATAATCATTCCTCTCATTTTTCTGTATCTACCGCCTACATATATTTATATATCTATTTGATGTGCAATATTTATATTCAATCTTTAGGTGCAATACTTTTTGAATTGTTAAATCCCAATGTATATTCTCCACTCTCATGTGCAATAATCACTGTGAATTTTCAGGTAACTTTGTATATTGTTTCAATTTTTCTTTATATATATATGTATGTATATTTTTATTCTTTTTTTTATTTCTATATTTATATCTGTACTCTATCCTAATGCCCTTCTGCTGCTGTAATGTTGAAATGTGTGTGAAAGTGTGGGATGAATAAAGTCGATCTTATCTTGTCTTTTCTTATCTTATCTTTGCAGAGATGCTAAACTAAGGTAGAATAAAATAATAAAAAATAAGATGTATCGTGATTGATCCTCTGCAGAGGAAATCAATTGACACATCAGTACAAGGCAGTTGCAGAGCACAGTACAGGAAATGAAAATAACAATATGAAAGAAACAGAATGCAGAGTAAATAATATACAAGAGAAAAAAGATAAAAGTTGGTACGCATATTGTTATGCAGTATTTATTCTGTTTACACTGTACATTTTAAGTTCTTTAATGGTTGTATTTTTATTAATACATTATTTTATTTTAATGTAATAATTTCCTTTTAATTTTAAATATATAATCTAAATCAGGGAGGGTGGGCAGGTCATGTCTCCGGACCTGTGTGATGTCAGTGTATGTTAGATTCAGATGTATTGATTTATCTAATTCATGTATTAAAAGCTGATGGACGCTCCTCTGACATCACTCTGGTTTGTTTTCCTTCTGTCACAAACGACTCCTCCCGTCACGTGACCTCCTGACGTACAGTCCTCCACTGGTGCGGAGAGGAGGGGGGGGTTTCCAACATGGCGTCGATGCAGGTAAGAATACAATTGACAGCGATCGCATATTTATGATTTAGCTCAGCGTCACCTCGGGCTTCTCCGCCCGGCTCACCCACTTGTTCACCCGCGTTCGTGCGCCCGTCCGAGGCGGCGGTGACATCGAGGCCGAAGCGGGGACATTTCGGGCTGAGGCGCTCAGGTTTAGCGCTGAGCTCCGGAGCTAGCAACACAAGTAGCCCATCATCACCAGCAGCCCCGAGTCCAGGCTAACACGCAGCTTCCTGGACAGCGGTGTCGAGTTGTGTAGACGGACATGTTGCGTGTTTTTCCTCGCAGTCACACACGGGTGATAAGTGTGTGTCGTGTGTTGAATACAAGTTTAAATGAAGTGTATTTGTTGTGGTACCGTTTAGCTGAGGTTAGCTAGCTAACGACACAGTGCGCAGATTGAGCCTCCTGGAGCCGAGCAGGTGCATCCGAGCTCAGGCTCCTCGCGGGGAAAAGCTCTTAAAATCCAGTCTCGTGACGGATGAGTGTGGTTTGTTATTTATGTATCAAACGTATAGTTTCCTGTGTCTAAAGGCGTTTGTTTTACATACACGGGAAAGACGTGAAATCAGGCAGGGCGGAGTTTAGCTTCAACTCCTGTGACATTCAGCTTCGCCTCACCTTTTAAAACCTAATGTAAGATCAGATCAGACTTTATCGATCCCACGTCGAGAAAATTCACTTATTTCAGTGGCAAACGATCAGAAAGAGGCAGACAAGAGAGGAGAACAAACAATAGAATCAAGTTAAAAGCGAATACAAATATATAATATGTATATAAAGTACACATTTTACTGTGGAGATAGAGTTTGTATAAAAATGTACTTGAGTAAAGTGCAGTGAGACAATGATTGGATGTAAACTGTATTGATATATAGAGTACATACAGATACTGTTGGTAGGTATGATATACAAAATGTATATAATATAATAAATTTATAAAATTCCTATGAAATATATATGTATATGGTATGAATACACTCACCTTAGTATACTAAATAGCAGCATAACAGATATAGTATGATTTTATAAAGTTCTAGGTATAAATTCACAATAGTATACAATATTGTAGGGTATAATATATAATGGTGTTCATTTTTATTTTACTGTGGTTGTATTTGATTATGTTTCTAAACTAACAAATGGTCTTGATTTTCTATTTGTTATATATAAATAAATAAATATATATATATTCTGCTGAAAACCCAAACATGTTTCCTCCAACAGAAAAGGCTACAAAAGGAATTATTAGCCCTGCAAAATGATCCACCCCCTGGGATGACGCTCAATGAAAAAAGTGTACAGAACACCATCACGCAGTAAGTGTTGTGTTTTTATTTTAATCTGAATGATGTGTTAAAGCTCAACTGTCATCCACACCTGTAGTAGACACTGGAGAAGGTTTGCATCTATGAATAAACACATTTCCCCTGTGGCCTGTTTCATCACCATCAGAGAACAGAGCGTCAAAGGTAACTGTTGCGATAGCAGTGGTGGTAAGAGTGCAGCGACTGGTGAGGAGAAATCAGGGTCATTCGAGCGACTGGCTGCCCTGGTCCCCTCAGTAGAGCGTCTCTAATGCACAGTGTCACTAATCGTCCTTATAAAATATTTAGTGGTTGGCATGCAGGAGTTGGGTTAGAGTGGCAAGGAGCAGAGGCTGCTCAGCTGACCTTTCTGTCTGGGTGTCTTGGTGTTCCTGTGAATACTCCTGCAGTGGGACTCAAATTGTGTCTAACAAGCAGTAAATAATATCTGATATCCTGTGAATTGATTCAAGACGTTCGATTGTCTTTCATTTGCTTTCACAATGAAAGTGAATCACAGTGAGGAGGTGTAACACATTATTGATTCACCTCAGATTTGTTGATGTTTTGTTGTCATGTATTCGTCATTCTCTGCTCAAGAGTTTAAAACCACAACCTTCACTTTAAACTTTAAACAAATGAATAATGTGACATTTATCTTGATAAATACCCATATCAACTTATCTTTTTTATCCTCTGGACATCATATGTAGCCATATCATCCGGCCCTGTCTTGTGGCATCACATGTTTCAGTGCTTGTGTTTAGTTTCAGATTTGTAACAATGGAATTTCCATGATGTTGACGTCTCTCTCATTGCTTAACAATGACCTGGTCGGGGTGACTACATGTTGTTGTGATTCTGAAAAGCCTCCCAACCAGTTCTGCTGGCTTCTGCATCCCCAGGTTTGCAATGGTATGCATGGGTGTGTCTATATGTCTCAACTCAGATGTTGAAAGGACTCATCTACCTCGAGTTGGCTTTCACTGAGAGATAGTAATGGAGATTTGTATTGTCTTTTTTTTTTTTTTTTTATCACGCCCTAAGTCCCAGTGTAGTAAGATACAAACAGTATGTTCCTGCTTGACATTCAAGCTAACCTTCATCCAAACACTTGAAAATGCCTCGCTGGTGACAACGCTGTGTGTGACACTGATAAGGTGACGGTGTGTTTTTAGTTTTATATCTCTTGTTTATATAGTACACTGTCTCTCAGAATTTGATTACAGCGTGTTTCATGTGTGTGCAGTGCACAAGGCTTAGCTTCAGCTAAATGACTCTGTTATTTTTGTTGACGGCGTCATATAATCATCAGGCTCTGGGGAATTTGAGCAAGTTGAGGGCAGTGTCCTTGGAGTCCCTGTCCACGTGGTTTGCATCAGGTGTAACTCAGCATCATGTACAGTGATACTGGCTCCCTCTAAGCTTTTTTTGCTCCTGGAGGGAATCACAGTATTGTTCAGATACTCTGACCATTGAACTTGCTAAGTAGTGACCTCGTATGTTGGCCTAAATTATCATGTGCCCCAAGCTATATTCGAAACAGTCATGAGGCTATAAACCTGAACAACAGCCACAAGTCTCTTCAGTGTCCTATCTGCTCTGCTTCCCTTGAAGAAATTAGGTCAGAGATTGTAATGCTGCCTTCACTGTTCCTTTTCCCCTCTCCTCGGAGGTTTCTGCTATGAGCAGGCAATCCCACATAAATGTTCTGCTCTGGCTTGTTCGCCACTGACTTTATATCTAACCCCTGAGTTTGTGCCACATTGAGAAATTGACTGACCGAAATGAGCCCCTTGTATTTGCAACTGTCTGCCTTTCTAAGCAAGACACTGAATCCCTTGCAGCTCAGTCAGCACAATTCTGGAGCCCGGCTGCAGAAGAGAAAATAGATTTTATCCACTGGATCAATAGAGTATCACATTATTACTAATCCACTGTCATAACCCAGCTGAATATTGAATGTCACCGGAATAACTCAGAAGAAAAACTGTTAATTATACACTTACTGCAGCGCTGGCAGCTTATATTAATTTGTATTATTGTATTTGAATGATAATGAGATGTGACCTGTTCAAGTTGTTGTGCCCATGTTCTTTTCTAAAGTTAGAGATAGAAGGTAGAGCCTGTTATTGATCAATCTTATGATCTCATTAATTGTTCTTGTTCATCGATTCTCAGCACGTTACAGAAACTACAGCCAAGGCTGATGAGAAAATGTTAGTTTTGCATTAAGTCGTAGTATCTGTAAATGCAAATGCATGTAAATGATCTGTTGGTGGCACTAGATTATTAGCCATGCTTGCAACGTGAAATACAAGTGAATGGAATAACTGGTATATTCATTGTTGGTAAAAGCCTGGTAAAATCAACAATGAATATACCAGTTGTTCCATTCACTTGTATTTCAGGTTGCTAGCATGGCTAATATAAGAAATAACCACAACAACTTGCTATGTATCAGTTTCCTCTCAGAGCACAGTCAGGGTCTGTTGCCAAAGAACGTGTTTACCTGTTATGACGACTTGACATGAGGAAATGAATAATCCCGGTGTTACTTCCTCTGTTATATTGAAAAATAACATTTAGCAAAAGATCAGCCTTAAAATTGTCTCATAAAATAAACAACTATAAAATCTTATCCCTCAGTTGTTTTTTTAAACTTGAGGGCTTTGTTAATTTTAAGTTTCAGTGTGAAAAACTTTGTAATCGAAACAGCATTTCAACTGATAAAAATCCAGATATTTATCTGATGATGCTGTTACTAATATTAGAAGTTTTTGTACGCCACACTGAGTGTTTGGTGATCTGTGTGGGGTGCTTAAATGAGATGTTTTAACATTTTAATATTGTGCCTTCTTTTCAGGTGGATTGTAGACATGGAGGGAGCCACTGGCACACTGTATGAAGGAGAGAAGTTTCAGTTGCTTTTCAAATTTAGTAGTCGATATCCTTTTGATTCACCTCAGGTAAGCAGAAGTTGCTTCGCAGCCATCTCTTTGTGTGTGATAATGTGTGTGTGTGGCTATAAGTGCTCAGGGTAGAGCTTTGTGCGGTTCATTTATCATCTACTCTTAAGGACCTTGAAAGCCCCGACGGTGTTGACCATCAGTTTTGTACTGTACCATCCTGAGGCTGTTCAACGTGACAACTCTGGGACAATGCTAACTGAGTGTTTTCAACCTAAAATTGAAAGTGGAAGAACATTTATTTGTTCTCTCAAAAGTTGAATATATTCACTTTAATGTCCAGCATATAATCTCAGTTTGATGAGAGTGAAATGAGCCTTTCCCAAAGCAAATTGATTTGCGTCCAGAGGTACAGCTTTTCCAAACAAAGGCAAAAAAGTGAACACCTGTGTAAATGATCCCTCTGCTGTCTGGATTCCTGCAATAATCACAACACAGTGGCTTCACAGTTGTTACTGGATTGGAGCTCGGTGTTCAAATGCCGGAGCCAGGAATCATTGACTCCGACAGACACCAGCACAGAGCTGCCTCTGAAGCCACGTTTGAAGGGATTAGTTGATCTCAACAATCTTGTTTCACTCATCAGGATCCTTCCCACCTAAAAATAGCGAATGAGGCTCTGTTGACACAATTAGATAAACTCTGCTACTTAGCCACTATCCTCCCAAATAGGAAGGACAGGCTGTCAGAGTGCTCCTCTGTTGGCCTCCTCTCTGGGCCCCCAAGGGAACATCTGTGTTAAGTGTTGTGCTTTATTATTGGTTTTTGGAGGAGCTTCAGAGGTAATTCTTTATTCTACTAATTGTGAATTAGTTTTGTGCATGTGTGCTGCCTTTTGAAAGACACACACACCCCCTTAGCAAATGCTATTATTGTCATGAAAAGAACCCACTTCGCCAACTGATAACTTTTGCATTAACAGCTTGCATATCTTCATGATGGCCCTAAAGCCTGCAACCAGTGCAGTTTACTTTTGTTTTGTTAAGCTGGCGCTGCGTAGGCTGACTGGTTGAAATTGTGTAAACCATCACGGCCTCTTCTTGCACCAACTTTCAACAATGTCATGTGATTTATTGCAATTTTGAGGATTTTCTTTTTCACTGGTGTTCTCAGCAAATGCCTTCCTGACTTATAACAGATGTTGTTGGGAGTATTTTTCTTGCCTATTAGCAATGTAGTATTCTTAAACATACATGGTTATTGCTTGTTTTCCCTGATTGTGAGTTAACAGTATGTACTGTGAGGTAGTGCAAAAGTATTGCGAGAGAACTTAAAACGTATTGTAAGAGAACACTGAAGTAATCCCCATAAATATTTTTGGTGTGACCCTTTGTTAGCACCATATAAAACACATAGGTGCATTATATTATCTATTGTGCCTGTGCGCTCAAAGCTATTGCTAATATCCCTAAACCGTGTGTTTCGCAGACATTATAGTAAATATTTAAACTCTCTGCCAGCATAAGGCTTTCATTTGTCTTGACGTCCTGAGTGCAGTGTCATCTTTGCTCTCTGCACCTCTCTCTAACACTCATCCTGTCACCCCCCTCCCCTCCAGCCCTGCTGCACTCTCCTGTGAGGCCACGACTGGTGCCAGGCGGCCTCAGCCCATTGTTATCCTTCATTACCCTCTTTACACTTTCACCTCTCTCTACTTTAGCACTACAGTCTTGAGTTCCTCTCATCACGCTCACTGTATCTCCTTGGTGGCCCTGAGTCTTGCACCCTTTTATTTCCTAATATCCCCTGATCCTTTTTTATTGAGCACGTCTCCTCTCCCAGTCTGTCGTTCCCCTTTTCCCCCTCTCTCACCCCTACCCGGCCCCTCTGTCCTAATCCCAAAGCTTCATGTTGCTGCAGTGGGCTAAGCCTGAGTTTATACAGCAAGTATCATTAGTTTCCATCAAGAGTGGAAAAAATCTCAACCTTTTCCCGATTAGTTCTCTGGAAAACAAAATGATCTAAGTTTATCTCATGTTTTTTCAGAGTGAAATACTCACCTCTGTATTATCATGATGCATTCAGTGACGCATCTTTTTTTTTTCTTTGTTTGCAGGTAATGTTCACAGGAGAGAATATACCTGTCCACCCTCATGTGTATAGCAACGGTCACATCTGTCTGTCTATTCTAACGGAAGATTGGTCTCCAGCCCTCTCAGTGCAATCAGTTTGTCTTAGCATTATCAGCATGTTGTCCAGCTGCAAAGAAAAGGTACAGAGACAGTTATGTTATATCTGGGGCAATAAATATAGAGATAGATGATGTTTTTAAATGCTCACTTCTTGTTTCTTTTTCTGCAGAGACGACCGCCTGATAATTCATTTTATGTAAGAACGTGTAACAAAAATCCAAAGAAGACAAAATGGTGGTATCATGGTGAGTGTTTTCTTTTTTGGTTGGCGGTCATAAGTAGGTAGACATGTCATTGAATTTGATGTGACAATTATTTTTGTTTTTCTTCCACAGATGATACATGCTAATGTACAAACTTTGTAATAATCGTAGAAGAAAGAAGTCCTACTGACCTACGTAAAAGCACTTTTTAATCATTCAGTCTTTGAACTCTGACCTGAGACTGGAACAGTGGATACCATGCTCTGGAGGCTCTTGACTGCATTTCTCCCCCGCGGGCAGTTGGATGCATGTTGTAGTCCGTTGTAATATAAAGAATAAAAATAATTGACAGTTTAGATGCACCCAAGATGGATTGTTTTTGGCAAAAAGGTAGTAATGCAGAGAGCGAGCAAAGTGGATTTGAGGTGAGAAAATTACAATACCTGTTTTAAGATTATTACTGTTACTTTTTTGTTTCGCGTGTGGGTGCATTTTAAAGGTCCTTGTGTTGTGCAATAATAACTGATGGATGCATGCTTGGGCCTGCAAAGAGAAATCCAAATCTAATTGTTTTCTGGAAGGAATCGGACCATCGTAACCCCAAGGAAATGCTTCATCTGTTTTTTTGTTTTAGTTTTTTTTTGGAAATATATTATTATATGCACTGTGAAAGTATCTAGTTTGAAAAGGCACTATTAGTTCATTATTCACAACATGCAGTTGTACTGTAAGCAGTCCTCCATATATTTAACAGGTGACAAGGTTTTAGTTTGCAACCACTGTCAAGAGTTCACACGAGTTTCCTCTCCATTTTCCAACTTGAGACCCAGTTGCACTTCTTCCTTCTGTTGGACAGAATGTCGGTACAGGAATAAAACGGATACGACAATGCGATCGCTCACTCGGTCAGTCAGTTTGGTCAGTCAGCGTGCATCTCATAAACCTGGGCTCAACTCGTGTGGCGTTCGCTCGTCCAGCCTTGAAGACGTGCAGCGGCCTCTCTTCCATTTAAAGAATGTCTGAGACCATTGTCGCATGATCCATTTTTATTTGTAAGATACTTTTTTTTTTAAACTCATGCTTTAATCTTCTAAAAATATTTGGTTTTAAATGTCTTGAGTTCTTTTTTGTACTGTTTTTCAACTTGCTGATACTTTGGGGGGAAAAGGGGGGGGGGGGGTTGTTTTGATGGGTCAGTATGTTTTTGGTTAAAATTTTTTTCTTTCTTTTTGTATTTGTTATTTAATTTAAAAATCTTTTCGTTTCATCTCCAGAACGGTAATGAATGACGAAAAAGGACTCTTTCTAGAAGTTGTAATGATGAGGCTTTTGTGATTCCCCCTGGTCAGAGTTTTTGGCTCAGGTACTTTTTTCAATAAAGAGATCACCTCTAAAAAGATACCTATCAGATATTTTGAATTTAACTATATTTTCACCAAAAGAGACTGTTATGTTGTAAACTTATAACATGTCTGAAACTATTGTATATATACGTCTTTAAATTGTTGGATGGTGTGAAAGAAATTAGCAGAGGATGCATTTACTTTATAGCAGAATGATAATAGGAGTGCTTTATTTTATTGGATGCTAGTTTGCATCTTTTGCTAATTAGAATGTGTACAGACAGCAACAAACACTACTGTTGGTAAAAAAAAAATGTTTAGTAGTTTTACAGTGGGGGTGCATGCAATTTTAAACCCTGCTTTTTCTTATTGGCATCAGACATCGTGACAACTTTTAGTCTTTTCCATAACTTAGGTCATGGTTAATGGGATGGATATTACAAACCCTCCAGAGGCTCTTTTTGTCATTTTAAGACTGTAATCACTCCATTCCTCAAAATGTTTATCGCCATCCAGTCAGAGATACTTGAATTTTCCATCAAGGGTTGTTTGTGTTGCATTTGCTTTTTTCCAGGGTCTAGCTGAGTTTCTTGAATGAACTTGAGTGAATGTGATGACTCTCTAGAAGAGATTACCACAGCACACCGCTATCTCAAAACTATATTGATAACTTAAAAGTCATCTATTTAACCAATGATTTTTTTTTTTTAGAAAATAATATCTTCATCATAAGGGTCTTGTCTGCTGTTGCTGCGCTTTAAGGTAAAAGACGGGGGGACTGAAACGATTGTGTCAATGCAGTTACAACGGCACCTGTGTGGGGACAGAAAGCCCTCACCCAGTTGGCAGTAGACCAGTAGGGATTTGAGAAACTTTCGCGTGAATATGTTACAAGGGTTTGGATGTGACATAATTTTATTTTAATTTTATTTTTCTTTTCAATGTGGTTTGAACTCTTAGCTTGCAGGTTGTTGTGAGTGATCAACACTAATGAGGGTGTGGTATTTATATTTGAAAAATGTTTGTTCTGGGATGTGCAAGCTCCATGTAATAGGTGCCTGTTCATTTTCATAATCAATAATAAAAAGCAAAGATTCACTTTTATTCCACCTTGGTTTGCGCAATGTTTGAATATGAAATGCCTCTTTTTTGCAGCTTGTTAAAGCTGTAATGGATTTTATTCTGATGTACATAAAAAACAAAATAGTCCCAATCTAAAGGGAGCAAATATTTCATATCAAATCTGTCCCTACAAAAAATGAAACAGATCTTATGCTTGTTTGTACCCACAGATATAAATGAGGACGTGCACGTCACATAAAAGCCATCACACAACATAGTGTAATAGAAAATTCAGACGATCTCGCAGGAACTGCCAATTTTCAAAAAAATGGTCAGATGAAAAATGATAGTGAGCCATTTAAAATGATAAGAACTTGCACATGATCCACCTGAGAAAAACTGCATGTGACAAACAAAAATTTACATGACAATTATTCCAGTTAGAAAACAAAAAGTGTTATAAATTGAATTCTCATACTTAAGTTCAGGTACACCAAGGCTGTGGATAGACTCAACATAGGCCCAAACTATATGTCATTTTCTTAACTGTTTGTTAAGCTTCAAGCTTATGAACTCACAGCTCTGAGTATAACTTACTTTTAAAGGAGACACTACTTTTACTTGTACTCATATCTCATACACTCAAAACTACAAGTGAAGAACAGGTAGTGTAGTAGCACCATCTATTGGTCATACTACAGAACTGCTCTTATCAGATATTCTTGTGAGAATCTATAATTCACATTCATACTTAATTAACTAATAGTTGCTTTGTCAGAAATATATTAACATATGTATTTTTCTTTGGGCTCTCTCCAGCTGTGAGACCCCAGAATCGCCTCTCCACTTATTTTACCCACCATGATGAATATGTTCCAATTAATTTTTTTTGCAGACATCTTGTTTCATAGCAGGAAAATCAAAGATATCAGTGTCCAACAACATTATCTGTTGTCCCAGGAGGACACGAAACAACAGCTCAACCCTGAAGGTGAAGCAGCTGAAGGGGAAACAGACAATCTTTCAGTTTATCTCCAGTTAATACTTACACCATTTCCTAATGTGTCATGGGCCTGCAGTGAAAAAGGCTTATGGTATTTCACCTAACCCAAGCCATCAACAGCAGGTCTGTGGGATGAACACCTGCCCTGCCAAAGTGCCATTGAGCAAAACAGTGAAATGCTATCATCAGCATGGGCTGTAGGTGTTAATGTGTTTTTTTCTCAAAACAGTCCAGATTCAAGATAATTAACTTTATTCTGAATCTCACTTAACAGAGAGGCCACCTGAGATACAAAACAGCCCAAATTATGCAAAGATAAAAGCTTAGAGGCTTATGTCAAGTTTCAATTATACTTATTCTTGTAAAATGCACAACTTCAAACAATCACCCGTGTTTATTTACGCGTGAGATAAATGCAGTTTGCAGGAAACCGAGTGTGAAAAGGTTCTTTTCGCTTCTGAATCAAAGTTGCACCGAGCTCTGAGGAAGCACACCGGGAATGAACCACTCGTGTCACCGCGGGGGTGGACGATTCATCCGAGATTTACCTCAAACTCCATTGGCTGCAAGTTGGCGGTTTACAAGCAAACAAATCAAAATGGATCAACGATAAACAAATAAAGTTAATAACCCAGCTGTTAAATCGAACCACTTTTTTAACTTCTGACGAGACACGTTTCCATTTTTCCACCCAGAGAAATGACGTGGTCCGTCCCCTCCTCTATCCAGTTCTCTTTAGTGTTTGCCAATGTCGGAGGTGTAACTGGGGTCTGGCCCTGGACAAAGGTAAAAACCACACTCTCATATTTGTCCCCGTGTTGTCAGACAGTCTCCGGACCGATCGCCAGGCTGTCGGCCGTCCGTGTGCGTCGCTCCTCGGGCTCGAATCCCCCCTCAGACCGTGGCGGAGGATGGGGCGGTAGGGAGATGCTAGCAAGAGGGGGGCTCTCGGCCGATCAGCCATGATGAGCTTCAACCGGCTAAACTAGCGCAACCGGAGGCGGCTCGGCGGCGTGTGCTCCCCGGGGGGGGGGGGGCGACACCGGCACTTCCGTGACAGCGGTCGTGCTCGGGCAGTCAGTCGCTGCGGGTTTCAGGCGCTGACATTTGCGGGAAATTGGTGTTTTCTTCGTGGCGGCGTTAGCTTCCGGCTAAAGCTGGACACAGTCGGGGAGCTGTGTTGGAGGTTCATGGGGTCGCAGACCGGCTCTGTAGCTGTGTCAGTCAACCCCGACCTCACACCGCCTCCACGGTCAAGTCACTGTCTAACACCACCATGCATGGAGGCTGCAGTCTGCATATCATATATATATTTATATCTGTGTGTTGTGAGAGAGTTAAATAAAGAGTGACCCCGAGAATCCCAGGGGCACGCGAGGAGCACAAATCAATTACACTGCATGCAATTGATCAATGAAGGTCACGTGCCATAACGTAGTAAAAGTGCATGTTGTTTTGTGCACAGTTGTTTACACCGCTCCAGACCCTCAACTGTAAACAACTCCTGTTCTCCTGCTTGAAACCTGTCACCATTGACCCATGCGTGATCTGACACTTCTTCTTCTCTCTTCACTTCATGCAGTAGCTGAAGAATCATTCGGCTCATTCATGTCAATGATCTCGCAGGTTATTTCAGGCTGACATGGTGGTTCATGTTATTATCCAGCACCTGACGGGGGCCCATACTCATAGCTGCTGTTTTCATAGCTTCACACACCAGGAGTTCTTGTCTCGGTCTGACCCTCTGCACTGACATCTGCGGGGACAGGACAACATTCCCCCTCATGTCCCCCTTCACTGCCTTCCGCCCATATTAATGTGAACCAATAGTGAGTCCATAGAGGTACAGTTTGTACCTTCTTTTAATTTAGTTTTTAACATGAACATTGTACGTACTCACTTTGTTTCATGTTTTGTTAATGAAAAGCACAGTTTGGCCTCTTAGGTTACTTTCATTGCCTAGCTGCAGGCTATGAGCTGCTTGTAATTGCATTCATGAAAATGCAGCACACATCCAGAAAAAGATAAAGAAGGTAACGTGTGTTTTGTCGACTTCAACCAGATTGTTGAGCTCGCTCTGCTGTTCACATTTACCTATGTCTACTCGATGTACGCCCACACTCTCAGGTCTCAAATATAATGTCACTGAACGCCCGTTGTCTTGTTCAGGCTGCTATCACAGGATTCCCTGATTTTTCCGGGGAGCTTAGCAGCAGTAACATGAGCAAAGCTCCTTCAAATAAAGGTTCATTGTCTGGGTGTATTAGCTGCCAGTGGATCAGAATGTGAGATAGGCCTTTGCTGCTCAGTTTGAAGTATGCTTCCCGGGCCTTGCCTCAGAAACCTGTCGGAGCAGGGTGAAGCTTTGAACTGAGCTGAAACTAAAGTGCATTTGTATGAATGTTTGTTGTTAGACGAATGCTTAATACAGTATAAAGTCTAAGGCAAATAATCATAAAGCCTATCTTTTTCATTAATAACTCAGATGGGTCCCACCAGTAATCTATCTAATGTGATATGATTAAACTTTGCAATGATCAGTGGGCTTCAAACAAACTTAAAAGTTGACTAATTGTCTGGTTTCAGGAATAGAGCATGGCTCAAGTGAAAGTACAGACCTCAGCACCCCTGGCTGGTCCTGGCCTCTCCCCCGGAGTTCCCCCGATGGCCATGGCCAGCCCAGGATCCCTGGGTCTGCAGCCCTCCGTCAACGGCACAGGCCCGGCCCCCACACCCGCCTGCCCTGCTCCTGCAGTCGGATATGGGGACGCCCCTGTGTCTATCACACCGCCAGGTAGACTGGCCATTTTACTAAAAAGTTTTGCTTTCAGGAGAAATTCATTTTTTGCAATATATATATATGGTTTTAATTGTCATTCACTTTAATTAGGTATTGTGATGCCCATCATTTTATGTACTTCATCAATCTCTTACTTTGAATTTGCCACATTCAGTGCAAAATAGATTAAATACAGTATTACCAGCATTGAACATTTTTTAAATATAAATCCCAAAGACACATCAATCAGATATTGCAATAATAATTATTGTATTACAAGGAGATCCTGATACAAGCCATTAAGAACAGTGCATAATCAAAATGAACTAGACATACTGATAAATGTTTCCCCCTGAGTTCTTGACCAGACTCTGATGCAGGTAGCTCAAGTTCAACATTGCATCAGAATGAATAACAGTTAATTTACATCAGAATGAAAAAAATGGACTGTTGACAAACCCGGAACACCTGATCTCTCCAGTGCACGTTTTTAAAATGTTGTGTTGATCAAATTACTGAATGTAAAACTTCCAATCCTGGTCTGAACCAAATGTTTAATGCTGCTTGTTTTCCAGCCCTTGGCACATTTTTATAAAATGATTTATATGAATGAATTAAATTGACATTTACTATCCTGAAGGAGATTCTAGCATTCACTCATTTTCCAATTTATTATATGAATCCATAGTAATAAGTAAGTAAATATACAGGTCTAATTCTGGTTCTATAACAGTGTAGGTCAGTATATCATGTATTCTGCTCTGCTCTTATTTAGGCTCGCCCCAGGAGAACATGGCAAACCCTAAAGAGAAAACTCCAATGTGTTTGGTGAATGAGTTAGCCCGTTTCAATAGGATCCAACCACAGTACAAGCTCCTCAATGAGAGAGGCCCTGCACACGCTAAGGTGAGTTATTATGACCCCACAGTCGTGGTCTTGTCTGGAAAAAGGCCTGGAGAAACATTTATAAAAACCTCATATTATTTATTTATGTTTTTATTCATTTTTTACGTCATCTCTGTCTTGTCGTCGTACACAAAGTACCTAAGGTGTCAAGTATGTGATGGAGTATGTGTTTCAGATTTTTGAGTACTGTTCGGAAATGAAAATTGGTCATGCAGCAGGATACATCCAGCTCCTGCCATATGGGCTCCCGAGAGAGGCCAGTAAACATGTCATTGCTGTCGGGTAATGTCTCTCTCTTTGGGTGTCACTGCTCCAGATCTTCACAGTGCAGCTGACTCTGGGGGAGCAGGTGTGGGAGGCGGAGGGCACCAGCATAAAAAAGGCCCAACACTCCACAGCAGCCAAAGCACTGGACGAGAGTGTCCTCCCCAGGCCTGCGCCCCGCTCCCCTAAAGTGGACATCAACAGTAACCCAGGTATCCAAACCACATCTTATTTTACTGTGAACAAAAAAATTACCTTTACACTCGGTTGTTACTCATGTGAACAACCCGGAATAAATATTGTAGTTTTATTAAATCTGGCAGATTCTATTGGAAATAAATCTGCATAATAATTTAACACTTCGTCGTCAGTGTTACTCTCAATGCAGATAAGTGTTTGGTATTTAGAGACAGTAAAAGAGACAGCCTATACTGCATAAACGAGGCTACCTCTACCTTTACCTTCTTCTAGTTCACTGACATTTTTTCATGTCATCTCTGCTACACAATAACTGAGTCATTGTTAATGTTTTACATTTTATATATAACAGTTGAAGTTTGTTGTTGCTGGTTAAATAAGTTTTGTTCATTCTCCTCCAAGGAAGTTATGTTTTCACCTGCGTACATGTGTTAGTTAGCAGGATAACACAAAAACTACGCTACAGATTTCTATGAAAGTTTGTGGAGGCTTTGGGCATCACCCAAGTAAGAACCTGTTCATTTTCGTGCAAATCTGAATCTCTTTCTTTAACGTAGCAAGATTTTCAACATTTCTCAGAGAATATCGATGAATCTTGAAGAAAAAAGCTCAGGCACGTTCAGAGGGCTGATATTTATGAGTATGTGTAAGTTGGTGCACATCCAAATGGATCAAGTGAAGTTAAATGTGCTTTAATTTTGTTTTAACTGAAGTTAATTTATTTATGGAGCTTGATGTGGTGTAATAATTATCAGACTAGAGGGAGATGGGAATAACTCAAAAGTCACTTCATGGAGTCAAGTCTTGCTGATGGGACATCACTTTTTTCAGCTGCAGGTGTGATTGTAACATTAGGTGATAATGGTTCTTGTAATAGCATTTTTTTCTCAATTATTAATGGAACGTTTCAGAAGTTTCGTAGATTTCCACTCTGTTTGACTTGTGGATGAGACACAGCTCTCATCCCTTTGGATGCAATTAAATAATCCATGTTCAGAACTAAGCCAGTGCCAGCCCTCTTAATAAAGCCTAAGAACTGACTTTTGTTTTATCTCTGGCCAAATTAATATCACTCGACTTGTCTTATCTCCTCTGCCCTCTGTGGCCCTGGATGTAGTGAAGACATCACAGTATAGTTCTTAATAGGATAAAGAAAGTCCTGTGATAATCTGTGCATCATTTGTGATTAGCAGTACATCATACAAAATCAGATGGGTAGAACATTAGTACAGTTTTTAAACATAATACAGACATCCTCTAACATGTTATCTTGTGTATTGCGTAACTATTGAAGTCAATTGGGGCATCTGTGTTATAACAGTTATATTTTGTATTTGGCTGATGCAGTTATTTTATTAATATATGTTATTACTACTACTATTTTAATCTTTCTTTTGAATTTTGTTTTTCCCACCTTCTCATACAGGCAGTATAACACCCACAGTGGAGCTGAACGGTCTGGCCATGAAGAGAGGAGAGCCAGCTATATATAGGCCTTTGGATCCTAAGCCCATGCCCAACTACAGAGCAAACTACAACTTCAGAGGGATGTTCAACCAAAGGTGGGTCCTCTAAACGGAACTTGGCCAAAACTAACAGAACCAAAACTTTCTAAACATCTCTGTTCCAACTGAAACACCAAGTGCTCCTGATCTTTCCAAGAGATGATGCTTTTGATTTAGTTTCTCTTGCTCAGTGAAAAAACATTATTTTGGGCATGTAAATGCACAGGGTTGCCTGCCTTGAAGACAAGGGAGTAAGATACAGGATTCCATATTACGGTTTGAATTAACAACAAACTACAAAGTGTAAAGTACACTGAGGGAAAGCAAACAATCCATCTCTTTCGTTGTTAGTGCGCTCACTGTAAAACAATTTTAAATACATAGGTAAGGAAACATGAGGTACAGAAGTTGAGCTGTGTGACGCAAGCACTTGTTTATCCAGGTTATTTTGATAGACATGAAATCTTTTTCAGGAGTCAGTGGAACTCCCTCCAGATGGCAGTGTTTCCTCATTTATAAAAACCCAGCACTGCTTTTATAAGGTGATGGAGCACCCATTTTGTGATGTAAGTAAGGAATGTGGTGAATTTGTGCAGGGTTTTTAACATATAAACCTCTGCCGTGTAATTTACAATATTTGGAATATTTTCCATTATATAACACGGAAACATAAGAGGGAAGCATATGTCTGTTTTGCTTATTTACATAAACTTTAGGCTTCATAAATTCCTATCATAAGGAATTCTGATGCCAAATGTTTTCAGATTTAATTTTGAAATGTGGACACGTTGCCAGAAAATGTCCGTGATTCCGTTGCAGTGTTGGGTAACAGAGTCTAGTCAGCAGACAGTCAAGCATCTGGCACACATCTTCCACTATTTGATCCATGCAGGAACAAACAGGGGGTGAAAGATAAACGTCTGTGGGCCAGAGTAGAGAATGTGTTTCCCAGGAAGTCTGTCAATGTCATATGTCACAGTGATGAGTTTCTAAAAGACAGGCAGTATCTATTCCTCATTGTCCGTTTTGTTTTCTTACCACTTTGTAAGAGTCAGGGTGGGGGGGGGACTAAAAGACTTAAGAGTGTATATTATCCCAAGGTCACTTATGTTTTCACGGGGTCTCCTTGTTTCAGTTTAGTCGAGCCCTGGATTAATGAGAGTGAGACCTTCTGAATATGAATTCCCTTCATCAGATGACTGAATATGTGCTGGAGTGACGGACCATGTCCACAATCAGTCACCTTAATGATGCTGCAGGGAAGCGAAGGTTTCCATATGCCCATGTCCTTCATGATCATTCATGATCCGGAGTCATGTTGATGGAAAATCTCCCCATTAAAAGGGCAACCTGGCTCTGATCCATCAGCACTGTAATCACCACCAAGACCAGTATTGATTAAATCAGAAAGTGCCCTGATGAGGAAATATAGCGATAATATGAAACTTGCATTTATCAGGGTCTAAATGAATCTTATTTATGGCGAAGGGTCTGTGCATAATTCTTTTCCATCCAAGTCTACGTCTCAATCATCAGTTATTGTGCAGTCACATCCATGCCATTGTTCATCCTCGAATATGTACTCAGAATGATTTCAGCTGATTCAATTAGTGAAATGATGTGAATCATTATAGGGAAATCCAGCCCAATGATTCATAAACATGGTCATTGAATCAGGAAAACATTTGTGTTATCAAGATATGTGGTTACATCAATGTTAGCTTCATGGACAATCCCCGCTTACTGTGTTATCATTGGAGCACCTGATTCCAATGAGTCATACTGGGCTCCTCCAGCGTAGACGTCCACGGCGCTCCCATCTCTCCTCCTGCTGCTCTGCTCCTGGGGGAGCGGGGGCGCCGGCATCCCGTATTCTGTCAGAGTGGGAATTTGGATAAGACTAGCTCAGTTAGAGCAAAGCAGTCAGAAGCCGCCCACCTTTTCCCCACCCTCATTTGGTTATGACGGCAGCATTATGTCAGCTGGAAGGACAGTGGGATGAAGGACTGGGGGGTGCTTTGCTTTGTGACATTTCCTCCTGGGATGGTGGACAGATACTGAGCAGGCCTGTGCTGCTCTCCCCAGAGGAAAGCGAGAGGAAGAGGAATTTTACACCGACTGGAGCATTCACCGATCAGTCACAACGTGAAAACAGATGTAATATTGTAACTGATCGGTGTAAACGGAGACTTTTATTAGTGCATTTTTCTTACCAATCTTTTTTTCTGATGATTTGGCCCACGACTTAAGTATTGTTTCACTGTCACTGATCTTATCGACCAGCCAAGCACAAAATTGTTATCGGTGTAAAGCCGATAAAAACAAATGTTTTAGTGCTAAAGAGACAATTATTTCCTTTATGAGTTAGTGGTTGACTGAATGCCCAGAAAAAAAACATTTACTGCAGATTTTATAGAAAGGAATCTGGGAATTAATCAGATATTAGTGGATTAGGGTTCAAATAGTAGAAATAAACAAAAATCCAGTAATAAAATATATCAAGGGTTTGCTCTTTAGTGAATGAGTAATTGGTCATGAGCAGCTTATTTGCAATTTCTCCACATGTTTCTTGACTCTGTCTGTTTCCAGGAGCATATTATGAAGTGACCTTGCTACAAAAGAGCTTCTGTGCACCCTCAGTGTTTCATTGTAGCAGGAAATGAAATGACTCTTGGAGGCACATTGACATGCAATCTACGTGACAATCAGTGTTACTTAATGTATAATTATACGCACAGTCAGAGACTATTAAAAACAAGAATCAATGAAACAAAGTACAGTTTGCACACTGATTAAAAGACACAATATGAATTAAATGATTTTCGTATAACATATTAAATCATAATCCTCCTTTGAAACACGCCTGTATATCCTGAATGAGCATTCAATACCTGAGTTTGCTAACCTCGGCTTTTGATTGAGGCACATGAAAGGTTATTATAGATTATCGCTGTATTCTAGACTTGCCTTGTGGCTATACGGCAGTGTCCTTGTAAAATCAATGACAACCTTACATGTGCCTTGATAACGCTGTGTGTGTGTGTGTGTGCATGTGCATGCTTTTGTATGAAACATAAAGAGACAGATGCGATAGAAAGATGGTCATCCTTGAAAAATGAAGGAATAACATCAGACAGGAAAACTGTGGCAGAGACACAAAGGACACACACACACATACGGGTGTACTTTGTCATCTACATCTCTAATTGAGCCAACCTGGCTCGCTGAAAAGGCAAATCTGCCCATGAGCGCGTTTCTATATTCGACATTTCCTCTCATCTCTTCCTATGTGGAGGTATCGGATATCCTCTGAGGTCCTCTTCGCACACGCAGTCTGCTCTTTTTTTTCCCCTCCCTCTCTCCCACTCAACTTTATTATATAGTTTTTATATAGCTCTCTGGCCTGTTGGGCTTTACAAACTCATGCAGCCTAATCGGGACACTGTGTGCTCTTTGGTCCACTCAGGCATTCCACAGATATGGTTTCTCTTATCCATCCCATCATCAGCGCTGCCCTAAAACAAAAGGGGCCTGCCAAAGCCCACAAGGTAGAGATTTCAGAGGAATAAAATTTTATTACATTGCGTTTTTTTTTTTTCAACCCACCAAATATCTGCATACATCAGTAAATCAGATGCATTCACTCAGATGGGACATAAATCTCCTCGGGCGACATGCCAGAACAAAGTATAATCTGTCCTAATTGTACAAATGGGTGTAAACTCATAAAGCTGTGTTTTATAGAGGAGACTGGGGGTGGAGATGTGGAATACAGGTCCAACATAAACAAATGCTCGGAATGATTTGTACTCAACAGACTCGATGACACACATAGTCTGGTCTCCCCTTTCATCTCCTTGCGTCTGAGTGGAGTTTCGAGTTTGTGTATCCCTGTCTGTCCTCCTCGCCTCTCTCGCCTTGATGTATTGAATGTAAAAACGAACCTGAGACCAGCACGCACGAAGCAGGTTACATCAGTGGGCCCACCTTTTGTCATGACGCCTTTCAGCTCGCTTGGCACGGTGTGGAAGGTGACTAAAGTGCGCTTCTTCACAAGAACTCACATCCTTATGTTTGTGCGAATACACACCACTTGTACTTTACCTTACTTGTAGCTTTTCCCAGGAAATTGGAGCCTTCTTTTGCTGTAGAGCTCAGAGTGATTTGTCTTACCTCCTGGGTAGCTCAGCAGCAAATGGCTGTCAAGAGGAAAGGTTTGTTGAGAGATTTCTTGGGTTTACAGACATCAGCACTGAATGATATGAATCATTAACTCTGCAGAAAAGCAGCAATTTTATCACATTCACCTCCTCTGTCAGTAAATCCTTAAGTTAAAGTATACAACAATGTAAAGATGGTCTATTACAAGTAAAGGTCATGCATTCAACAGTTGGTTTGCTTCAAACCAGTCTGCTGCTCTCCGTACAACCTCTGAAAGCAGGTGCACTGTAAAATCAAGATCACAAGGGATTTTGTACTTGCAAAGGA